TGGTATTATTATTGATTTGATTTGTCTTATTTTGTTTTTATTTGTACTCGATTATTATTTTTATTACGATTATGTGCTCGTAATTGTCTAAGTTGTGTTTAGTAATTTTTATTATCGAGTCGGATCATAAATTATTTTAATTGTTGCCCAAACCGAGAGCTCAAAATTAATCCACGCAAGCCTAAAGGTCGACCCACGCCCGACCCCTTTGACCTCCATGTATGCATGCGTCTTCTAGATGGCCTTTTGAATTTAAATTTCAACCTTTTAATTCATTGCTTAATGGGACAAAGGAAATTAAGCCATTATTATTGTCTTATTAATGGCAATGATTATTGCCTTTAATCCTCCTTGCTGTTACAAATTCATCCACATATATCTCACTCTCTCTCAATCTCTCGTAGTCCCTCCCTTATTTCTCTCTTAAACCAATCACAAGCAGCTTATCTTTACCTTAAATCTCGCATCTCTCTTGTTTGTAAAAGTGAAAAATCTCTTGCTTGCACATAAGTGAAGGTAAATCCCGTCGTCCTCTTCCTTGCAGAAGCCGTTTCACCGTTGCGTCACCACCGATCGCTGCTCCCATCGCCTGTGCACCGCCGCGAACAACAATCGATCGCTGCCCCACGTCGCCATCACTATCGCTTTCCGTTTCCATTATCGGCGAGCTCGTTTCGCCATCGCACACCACCACCTGCCACCGTGGGCAACTCCAGCGGCCTTCTTTCTTTTTCTTTTTTCGTCCGAGAAAAATGGCAAAACCATGAGTTGAGTCGCCGTATTGGAAGGAGAGTGACCCTTTAGGGCAAACCTAGGGGAACCATTTTCTTTCAATGACGACAGCCCGCGAGCGAACTCCAGATGGCTGATGCGAGCAGCGAGATTCCGGTGATGTCCTTCGACTGAGAGAATCTTGCCGGCAAACCAATGAGAGGTTGAGCAGCAGGCTGAGCAAACTCCGACACCTTCAGTTGGGCGGCATGTCGTGAGTTCATAGCAAAAAGTAGTGGACAATAGAAAATTAATTCTCCATTTTTTTCAATATATAAGCTTATTTTCATGTCACGACTTTGGGGTATTCTGTCAGGCCTCGATAAGCAAGTCGAGCATTAATGAAATATGCTCTCGAGAAGAATATATAGTTAATAAACTCCCCAATCTCTAGAACGAGAAGAGGAGAACCCGTTTGTGGCATCGATTTATTATTTTGAGGTCCCGATCATTTATTTTAAGTAGCCCAAATTCGAGGGTGCATATAAGTAAAATAAATTAAAAAACTGGTTACGGTGGTCGCTCAAGGTCGCGTGTGACTTCAGTTTACCAAGAACCGAGTTGGGACGTATATATGATTTAGGCACGATGTCATGCGGGGCATTTAACGAGTATTTCGGAGTTCTGAGCATCTAATTGGAGAAGCTTGAATTCCCGTATGAATAGTACCAAAATGAGCGAATTTGTCGAGGACGAGTTCGAGCATTCGAAGCTTCGTTTATTCGATCCTTTCAGATTTTTCCCGAAGACAAGTAACTTATTCGAACCCTCTCTTTTTCTCGGTCATGCTTGTATATCACATGTTAGATATATATATATATATATCGTGCATTCTATCGAATCCTTGTTTGAAATCGGATTCCTTTTAATTTGTATATGGCATGATTTATCTCGAAAATACTACTCTATTGAACTGCTATTATGACCCTCAGAAGCCCGTTATTTAAGGTTGTAAGCGGTTTTTTAGTTTATTACCATAAGTATATAAGTCTGAGTTTCAGTCCTCCTAGTGGCCATTGCTCCCATATGAAATGTAGTGTATCCAGTTGGCTTTCTCTGTACTTTGGAATTTTGATAATCCGATTAGTATCGATTGAGTTATGATTTTTACAAAAATATCGTGCGTTTAGTTTTTCAGTACCCGGCAGCATGTGTTTAATTAATGTTTGGCCTGTTTATTGTGTCATAATGTGATCATATGAATTTGTAGTCTTATTGAAAGTTATAGGTCTATTGATTAGATTTCTATTGAGATAAGATTCATGCTAAGATGATATCTGTAGCTCGAGTTGTGTTCATATGAATGTAGATATGCATGAGATGGGGTTTTGTACTTTGCAGAAACTGATTATAAAATGTTAACTGCTTTTACACTATCTAAATAACCTTACCTGCTTTATATTCTAAATAAAAGTTGTAGCCTTATTTCTTAGGTTTCTAAGAATGCAAGAATCATGTTATTTGAAGGTCTATAACTTTATTTATCCTGCAATTACTAAAGTCATGTCAGTTGTATGAGTTCAATTGTGGACTGCTACTCTATTTCTTATGTTTGCTGATTTATCTCCTTGTAAATGGCCTTATTTGTTTTCAGTGTCTTCATACGAATTGTAGATGCATGTCTTAGAATTCAAATGCAACTTGAATCATGTTCATATGAATTATTTGCTGATAGTTATGTTGATTTCAACAACGCTGCTCGGGTTAAGCTTTGAAAAACTTACGTGGTGTTTTCACAAATTGGATTTCGTTGAATAAATGCATGCTTAAATGTTTATATGAGCTTAGTTGGACAAAGTGATTGTTATGATTAGTTGTTCATGGATGCAATAGTCATTTATAGACTATTTTATTAAATGTAGGTGTTAGACAAGCTGAGCTTGCCGCCTACACCTATTTTGTGATATCCATCGCTTCGGTAACCAGGTGGGTAGATTTACGTTGTATCTATAATTATCGCACTCGATATTTTGTATAAATATTCGTCTCGATAGTTGTTGTATGCATGAGAACCCTAGTCTAAGTATCCTGTCGATAGTGCTTTTGATGAATGCATAATCAGTGAGAGGTCACCTACCCGTTGCATCCGGGAGGAACGCCCCATGCCGTTGTATCCGGAAGGGGAAAAAAGATCTACTGTCTCTTGGAAAAGATCCTATGCTCGTTGCATCCGAGGTGAAAATGTTTATGGTTACTCCTTGTCGGTGTTTGATCGGAAGGTTGTTGAATGTACATAGGAGGTTTGCAGTACTGAAATACTCTCAAGATCGAGGCAATGAAATTGTTGGATCAGCGAAGTTAAGAATTGCGATTACTTTGCTTTCTTGTCGAATTTACTTCGTAGATGACTGGGCACAAACACATAGCATACACAACCAAAAAAACGAAAGTGACTTCATAGTCTACTTGGTAAGGGGGTCGACGATTCCATAGCTTCTCGAATGGTGAGATTCCGCTTTCGAGACATCATAAGAAAAGGCGGCTATGGCACCAGGAGTTAGAGCTTGGATTCTATGCATACTTTATTTATGTTGAATCTTTATGCAAAATATACCGTGCGGTATTGGTGAACATGATGGTTTTGCTCACCCCCATTGTTGTTTTTCCTCTTGTTTCCTCTTCCTATCTTTAGGTTGAGCACGGCTGACGGCAGCGGGCGAGAGACGATCGAGTGGTGGTCATTAGTTGATGTGTCTTTTGCTTCCGCTATCATTATCTATGTTGGATCATTTATACTTCCGCTTTGAACACTATGTTTATGTTTGAATGAACCGATGACACATGTTGAACTTTATGAATGTTTTGGAATAAGTTGGTTCGATTTTACAACTTCTAGTTTATGCATGTGTAGGTATTTTATATTTGTACGTATTTGTTTATTTGTTGTTGGAAGTTAATTAAGTAGCGCCCGTTAGTAATCAAATTTTAAATTGATATTTTGCAAAAATGAACTCTGATTTTTACAAATAAATTTAGTAGACTCTTTAAAATAAAACGAGGTGTTACAAACATACAAAATTTCCAGCTCTAAACATCAAACACACAATTTATAAGAATTATAGCAAGATTCTGTAGAATTTACGTTTTTAACAAAACCATACCGAAATAAACTCAATTACATATTGATATAGCCATACTATCGTATAGCGGCCTATGTTATCCCGGTTCGAACATTGCCGAGTCGACTTACCCGAAGTCGACTCCACCCACATATCTTCTCGTGATAGTATATTCGGTCAAGGGCCCGGATGCTTTTCTTAGTCGACTTCTATCATGTCGACTAGCCTAAGCCGATTCCATCCAGAAGGATGAATAAGCGCGTTAGGGATTACCAGCGATTGGGGAATGGCCTAGTCGGCTCGAGTGGATATCTCGAGTCGACTGAAGTAATATTGGGGCTCATGCATCCCTGACGACTCCTATACACTTCAACATATCAGGGGGAGACTATTAAAGGATAAGAAGGAATCTAAATGCTGACTAGGATATGGGTGGAATGTGAACCGACCGGGGTATTGTGGACATTTCCAGTAAGTCGGCCAGGGCAATTTGGGGATTCCAAGTAAAGGTTTTACTTCTATATAAAGGAGCTGAGGTAACCCCAAAACCCTAACTCCCATTCATTCTACATTCTTCTCCATTACTGCTGCTGCTCTCTCAGAGCAGCTCTCTTCATCTCTTTCACATACTGACTTGAGCGTCGGAGGCTCTACGCCGAAAACCCCTCCGGCGTTGAGTTCTTGCAGGTGTTCTTGCGGTTCAACAACGGTTTGGAGGCTATCGAGTCAGATCTGAGCTCATTCCCATCGGTTCATTCCAGATCTGAGAGAAGACCCATCATTTTGGCGCCGTCCGTGGGGAGTTTTTGAAGGAAGTAAGAGCTTTTTACCTAGTTCTGATCTGTTTCCGATGGCCGAGAAGGAAGGACTGCAAAGAAACTTAAACGGGGATTTCAGGGGAGCATGGATAGATAAACGACCACCGACGATCCCCTGCCCTAGACCACCGCTCCAGGTGCTGGGATTTCCGCCATTCGGGATGCACGCGCCGGCGGGAGGGCGCGCTGGAGAAGAAACACCAATTACCCCACCTGGAGTCAAGATCCCCGTGCTTACTCAAGGGGAGACCAGCCACATGAAAAACACGAGCGGAGAAGTCAATGGTCGTGAGTCAACCGAGACGTCCCTAAGTCTGGGAAAGCAGCCTGGACCGCTCGAGCAGGAAAAGAGACCGCCGCCCCAAGTCGAGGAGCAAACGTTGACCATGACAAGGGGCGAGATGCAAAGAATGATTGCAGAGGCCGTGGCGGCCCAAATCAAACAAGCGCAAGTCGAACAACCAAGGGTCGAGCGGCCCAGGATCGAGCAAGCAAGGGTTGAGCAGCCTCAAAATGAAAAACCACCCCCGGAGCGCGAACAGCAAGCGCAGTCGCAGGAGAGGCAGAACAGAAGAGTTGATGAAGAGAAATCCTCTGTTAGGACTGTCAATCCACAGGCGAGAAATGACACCCTGGAGCAGTTATTAGCGCAGGTGCGAGATTTGCAGGCTCGAGTCGAGGGGACAAAAACAAGAAGCTCGAGGGGACACCCTTTTTCACAACACATTCTAGATGCTGACTTGCCTCAGGGGTTTAGAGAACTTAACATCTGGTACGATGGGTCGACTGACCCCTCTCGATATCTGAGGAGTTTTAAAAACATGGCAGTATTGCACCGCTACAATGATCCCGTTCAATGTCGAGCGTTCCTGACGACTCTGCGAATACCTGCGCAAGACTGGTTTCATCAATTGCCCCCGGGAGCCGTCAGGGACTTTGACGGATTTAGTTCAAGTTTCCTGAATCAATTCGCAAGTGTAAAGGCCCAAGAAAAGTCTTACCTTACCTTGATAGGCATGCAACAGAAAGAAGGAGAATCATTGAGGGATTAAGTGGCAAGATACACTCGAGCATGTGTCGACGTCCCCTCAGCCACCGAGGAAATCAAGTCGGGGGGACTCACTAGAGGACTCCTCCCGGGATTGTGCATAAATTCCTTGGCAAAGCGACCCGAGAGGACGTTTGATGTGGTCCTAGGAAGGTGCGCCAAATACATGAATGTAGAGGAAGCCGAAGCCGACTTTTTGCAAGCGGCTAAAGCAAAGACTGAATCCCGGGACGAGAAGAAGGATAAGAAACCAATCACGACGGGAGAAAGGAAAGGATCCCCAAAGTCAGAAAGGGAGGGGCGATCAAGGGGATGGAGGACAACTCAGTATACCCACCTGTCAGCCTCGAATGCAAGGATATTGGAGGTAATGGAGAAAGAAATTCGCGAAAGTGTTGTCAGGTGGCCACGAACGAGAAAGGATGGACCGACAAAGCCCACAAGGATTACGGGCATAATACCGACGAATGTCGGCACCTGAAGAATGAAATCGAGAGACTAATCAAAGCAGGCCATCTAAAGGAGTTCGTTTATAAGGATCGAGATCGAACCAGTCGGCGAAGGGATAGAAGCAAGAGCCCTCGCAAGAGAGCGAGGACACCCGACAAGGAGGAGCTCCCTCAGAAAAGAGGAATAATTCATATGATATTCGGAGGGCCGACTGATGGAGATTCAAATCGGGCCAGAAAGGCATATGCTCGAGGCCACCACGGAAAAATTGAAGTACAACAGGTTGAGGAAAACGGTCCAGTGATGAATTTTGGTCCAGCAGACATGAAAGAGGTCGAGAGACCTTACAATGATGCTCTAATGATCACTGCTGAAATATCAGGCTATGAAGTGCAGAGGATCTTTGTCGACACGGGAAGCTAAGTGAATGTGATCTTTTACAATTGTCTTAAAAGGATGGAACTCGACATCGAGCTTGCACCCCTGCACACCTCACTTTTTGGATTTAATGGCTCGGAAGTCGCACCTTTAGGAGAAACCACGCTCGCTGTCGTCCTCGGGGAAGGCGACTTGAGGAGAGTAAAGATGGTGCGATTTGTTGTAGTCGACGTCGAGTCGGCTTATAACGTGATTCTAGGAAGGCCAGTGCTCAACGCATTCCAGGCGGTAGTGTCGACCTACCACATGAAGCTGAAGTTCCCCATTGGAGATAAAGTAGGGGAGGCCCGAGGAGACCAGAAGCTATCAAGAACTTGTTACCATATAACTGTGAAAACAAACCAACAAACAGAAGTTGAGGGAAAGAAGCCGGCGATGAGCGAAAAAAGGCCAAGAAACAGTGATCTCGAACCACACGGGGAGCTAATGGAGATACAAATCAGAGAAACAAAGGAACAGACCACTAAGGTTGGGAAAGATCTGAAAGACGAGCTGCGAAACCAACTCATCACACTACTAAAGGAGTTCAGGGATGTCTTTGCCTTCACCCCTGAAGAGTTGACGGGGATCGACCCCACTATTATGGAGCCTAAACTCAACGTCGACCCCCTCAGAAAGCCAGTAAAGCAACGACTTAGACGCCATGGTGAAGAAATTGACAAAGAAATTGAAATCGAGGTGGATAAGTTGCTGCGAGCATGACACGTCAAAGAGATCCAATTTCTCGAGTGGATATCCAACACCGTGATGGTGAGAAAGGCATTAAACAAATGGCGCATGTGCATCGCCTTCCGTGACTTAAACTTGGCCTTCTCAAAAGATCATTATCCCTTACCACGAATTGATCAGCTCGTCGACTCTACGGCTGGTTGCGAATTATTGAGTATGATGGATGAATCTCAAGGATACCACCAGATTCCATTGTGCCTAGAGAATCAGAGTAAGGTGAGTTTCGTGACGAGTAAAGGGATGTACTGCTATGTCGTCATGCCCTTTGGGCTTAAGAATGTTGGAGCAACCTACCAACGGTTGATGGATCGAATGTTCAAATCTCAGATTGGGCGAAATATCGAGGTATATATGGACGATATCTTGGTAAAGAGTAAGGCCTCAACCTCACACCCAGACAACTTGAGGGAAACGTTCAAAACCCTTAGGGCGTTCAGGATGAAGCTGAACCCAAGCAAGTGTACCTTTGGAGTAAAGGCAGGACGATTCTTGGAGTATATCGTCACAGAGCGAGGAATCGAGGTGAACCGGAAAAAAGTGAAAGCCATACTCGACATGGCTCCACCAAGAAACATAAGAGATGTGCAAGTTCTGACGGGACAAATTGCGGGGCTGAGCAGGTTCATTGCTCGAGCCGCAGAAAAAAGCTTCTCGTTCTTCAGATTACTCAAAAAGAAGTCGACCTTCTCATGGAGTGACGAAGCACAAATGGCCTTCGAAAAGTTGAAAGAATTCTTGGGCGAGTTGCCTTTGTTGACAAAACCAGAGCCCGGCGACGAGCTGGTGCTTTATATATCTGTGGGTTTGGTATCACTAAGTTCAGTGTTATTGCGAGAAGAAGGAGGTGTCCAACAGCCAATTTACTACACCAGTCAAGTTCTTCAGGGTACAGAGACGAGATACTCTGAGATCGAGAAAGCCGCTTTGACACTGGTGATAAGGACTAGGAAACTAAGGCCATATTTTCTGAATCATGTGGTAGTAGTCATGACGAACTTCCAGCTGGGTGAAACATTGGGCCGACCTATGGTATCAGGTCGACTCGTTAAATGGGCAGTCGAGCTGAGCGAATATTCCATTAAGTATGAGCCGAGGCGAGCCATAAAAGCTCAAGCCCTGGCAGATTTCATCCAAGAAGGTACCAAGGGAGAAGAAAAGAAATGGGTCATGCACGTCGATGGGTCCTCAGCGACCAAAGGGTCCGGTCTGGGAATCGTCCTCGTATCACCCGAGGGCGAACAACTTGACTTTGCCATTAGAATGGGATTTAAGGGCTCAAATAACGAAGCAGAATACGAGGCGTTAATCAAAGGAATTCAACTCGCAATTGGCGGAGGAGCGTTAGAAATTATAGCACATTCCGACTCACAATTAGTTGTTGGACAAGTGTTGGGAAGTTGCGAGATCAAAGAAGAACGAATGATGAAATATGTCGAAGAAATCCAAAGTCTTGTGCAGGGCCTGGAGAAGTTTGAACTAACACAAATCCCTCGAGAGGAAAATAAACGAGCAGACTGGCTCACGAGAATGGCGAGCTCGAATGATGGGAAGATGGGAAGCTCTATCACCACCATGCATCTAGAGGGAAACGTGTTGGGCGAAACAATGGAAGTCGAGGAAAAGGACGACTGGAGAAAATTGATTCATGAACTCCTACAGGGTCGAGTACCTATGGGAGATAAGTAGGAGGCAGAAAGGGTCGCTCGATATCTAAGCAAGTATTTTGAAGTCGACGGTGTCATGTTCAAAAAATCTCTGGTTGGGCCTCACTTGCGATGCATCTCTAAGGATGAAGGAACCCATGTCTTGAAAGAAATACATGAAGGATGTTGCGGAGCGCATATAGGATCGCGAACTCTGGCGGGCAAAGCCTTACGAGCAGGATACTATTGGCCCAAGATGCGGGCAATGGTGGAACAACTAGTACAAAGGTGCGAAAAATGTCAACTCCACGGGCAGATCACTTATATCCCCGCCGAATACATGACGACCATAAACACTCTGATCCCCTTCGCGCAATGGGGAATCGACTTGGTAGGACCATTGCCGACAGGGATAGGGCAGAGGAAGTTCTTAGTAGTCGCGGTTGACTATTTTACCAAGTGGGTCGAAGCGGAACCGTTGGCAAAATTTACGGAGGAAAAGATGATTCAATTCCTGTTTAACAATATCTGTTGTCGGTTCGTAGTTCTGAAAGTACTAATCTCTGACAATGGAACTCAGTTCCAAGGGAAACGAATTCAGGCATGGTGCCTTGACATGGGAATAAAGTAAAGGTTTTCCTCGGTCGCGCACCCCCAGGCTAATGGGCAAGTCGAAGTAACTAATCGAACTATTCTCCAAGGGTTGAAGAAGAGATTGGAGAGAGCATCAGGTGCTTGGGTCGATGAGCTGACAACGGTTCTATGGGCCTATAGGACGACCCCGAGAAACTCAACAGGCCAGTCACCATTTCACATGGTTTACGGAATGGACGCACTCCTGCCTATCGAAGTAGGCTTAGATTCTCACAGGTCGACATTTTATGAGGAAAAGAAGAACGAGGAAATGATCAAAGAGGCCCTCGATATGATAGAAGAAGGGCGTGAGGAAGCCTGGGTACGATCCATGGAATACAAGCAGAAGATGCGTGCAACCTTCGACAGGAAAGTCCACACCAGACGATTTCAGGTGGGAGATCTCGTCCTCAAACGAGCAGATGCTCTTAAACATGTCGGGAAGCTTGAAGCTAACTGGGAAGGACCTTACACCATCACCAAAGTACTCGAAAGAGGGGCATATGAACTCGAGGATGGCGAAGGATGACAGCTGCCGCGATCTTGGCACGTGATCCTTCTCAAACGCTTTTATGCCTAAAAATAGCATTTTGAACTCTTTTGTATTGAACAATGCTTAGTCAAATTCAGTAATGCAACGACTCCCAAGTTTATGTTTAAGTTGTATCTTTTACATTTCCATGTCGATTTTACTATAACTACTTGAAAAATCAAATCTTTCGGAACGGCTATAAAGCCGATTAACTCCAGCGACTACAAAATCGATTCGAACAACTACAAAGTTGTATGCCTCGAGCAAGATCTCGGCAGGGCTATGAAGCCTACGACTACAAAGTCGATTCGAACAACTACAAAGTTGTATGCCTCGAGCGAAATCTCGGCAGGGCTACAAAGCCTACGACTACAAAGTCGATTCGAACAACTACAAAGTTATATGCCTCGAGCGAAACCTCGACAGGGCTACGAAGCCTACGACTACAAAATCGATTCGAACAACTGCAAAGTTGTATGCCTTGAGCAAAATCTCAGCAAGGCTACGAAGCCTACAATTGC